CCACGGGGAACGTATTATGCGACAGCAGTAGGGAAAATGGGAAAGCTGACAAGATTTCATAGAATTGGTAACAATCTAGCAATGAGGCCACACCCAATCAAGCTATTCTTACCAGACAATACATCTACGAATTTGTAGGGCAGAAAACAAATTAAAGAATAAGTTACACAGTATCAGTATGGGATGTTTCACTTGCTCCCTGCTTCAGTAAGTCACCGTTCCTTGGGGGAACCAGTATTCCCATAGTTCATCTTAAATCATAATAATCGTTTACACACAGTCACCATTGTTTATTGTGGCCAACAATCTTACGGCAATATGTAGCTGTCCTTCAGAGAACACTCTCCATGTTAGTGGATTACTCAAGCAATGGGTTGATGGAACAATTATTTACTCTTCAATTAGATTTTTCTTTATACTTGTAATTCCGTTAAATGCACCTTAGAGGATAAATAGATGAAGTCTTTGGGCGTTTATAAAGCTCGTCTGAGGGATACGCCCCGCATTCGACTTCTATTCACAGTCATAGTGGCGTTTTGAATGCGTATGTGGCCTATAAAATGACTTGTGGTGGTCAGCCGATGTACAAGTCAGTGCTTTTATCCTCCCAGTCGAGACTGTTACCATTTAACGGGCCCCGTACGAATGGAAGGCATGGTTGGTCGGGGCAAATATCGATCCCTGACTCGAACCCGCGACCGTGCGTGTGTGATAGCGCACCGCTTGCCGCTACACCACCTCGCCCTTTCATTCTCTTGAAGAAAATACTCGCTATTTAAACATATAAGGGAACCTGTTGGAAATATGTTTACATTCGCCACATTAAGCTTTATCACTGCAAGAGATGGAAAAGTAGCGAAGTCATTCAGCAATAATATCGTCTTCTTCTTTGACGAGTCGAAGTCGTCGGTAATGGTTTTTACACTCCAGATAAGGAGAAATTAGCTCGAATGACAGTCTAATATGAGGAAAGTCGTCAAATCTGATAGACCTCTTCTTAGATCTGAGGCATTTGGAAGTCAGAACAAGGTCAGAGCACGAGAACAACGATTCTGGCAGAAAAGTTCGACGGTAACCAAACAACGGTTGCCCGTTGTCTGAAAAGCTAGGCAGTAAGTGAAAAATGGATGGACAGTTCTACCACGAACTGACCGCAGAAACAAAGCCAAACCCGTCCAAATTCTACCCTATTTTTCAAAGCCGTCTAGAACACCCTTCCTCAAGCATTTCGACAGTGGAAAAAGTTCGTGGCTTATCTTCAGAAACTTCTTTAGAGTTTAAGCACATGATGGTGTACTGCCCACAGTCTCGCGGGTGAAACATCAAAGGGAATGCCGAAAAATGTTCACAAGAAAATCCTTGGTAACCGTTCCTGCACTGGTGGTAGGAAGTTGACGTCAACAGCGCTTCCATTTCAGACAACTGCAGCAGACGCCGTTGCAGTACCAACAGCGACATTTTTCCGATTCAGCTTGATCGCCCTTACTACAATTCAGGTAGCACAGCCGCAAAAGAAGCCAAAACCATCCAACATCATGACAATGTACGTCCTAACAATGAACTTCATGTAATGTAATTCATTGCTAAAGAGATAGGAACTTTTGGCTCATACCCCATATTTTCCAACGGAAACGCCTAACGACTACCGTACCGCATCGACAATTCGNTTCAGCTTGATCGCCCTTACTACAATTCAGGTAGCACAGCCGCAAAAGAAGCCAAAACCATCCAACATCATGACAATGTACGTTCTCACAATGAACTTCATGTAATGTAATACATTGCTAATAAGAGATAGGAACTTTTTGCTCATATCCCATGTTTTCCAACAGAAACGCCTAACGACTACCGCACCGCATCGACAATTCGTCAACGATGATGAGCTTCAACAGTGAAGCATTCGAGACCAGTACAATGGACGGGAATACAATATGATGGGGAAGGTTCGCCTGGCTCATCTTGATTGCCCCACGCTGCAATCCAAATGGGACGGCTGCAAAAGCAGATCAGTGTCATTCAACATTATGACAATACAAGCAATAAATGTTATATAATCCAATTCATTGCTGATGAGCGATAGGAGCCCGTTGCATGTCCATACTCCCCATATTCCCCCACAAGGATGCTTGCAGACTACCATATCACATCGACCATTCGCTGAAAAATTGGCAAAAAATATATATGAGGACTGCATGCTTTGGAGGGCTACGTCAAGCAGTCGTTGGAGTGGCGGTGATTACGCTATTATATAAACATGGTTTTATTACATTTCTACGTGCATTTTCTCTGACGAAGGCCGCTTTAAAAAATGGCGGATTATAATGCCAATACAAAAAAAAAACAAACTACAGGGTGGGCCAGAATTATGATTACACAGAAATCACATCGCAGAAAACGAATAGAAAGCCAGTAGAGCAAACCAATTTCATTAGAGGGTTTAGCACAAATTTCTTATCAAAACTGTATATTGAGACTGGGATCTGTTGCTTTCTGCTTTCACCCAACCCCAAAGACGACGATGGACGGCATTGACGGTGGCACGCAGCAAGGGTCAGCGAAATGGTCCCGGCTTTTTGCTAAGCATTTTCGAGATTATTTCTTCTCTTGTTTGGGCTAAAGGAAGCATTCATCTCAGAGGCTGACCACATTGAGACATTCATGGGATTTAGGTCAGGGCTCCAGAGCGATCACTGATCGAAGGTTATG